TGGGCGCGGGATCTATATTGCACATATGTAGCCATCTCTCCTGTATAGGCTGTGCTAATGTATAAACAGCCTTGGAAAGAGTCCTGATGGTTTTTGACCTCAGCGCGACTGCTACTGCTCGACGCGTCCACTACTACTCAGAACGCACAACACTGAGGCCAGCGCGCCTATTCCAATGACGTCACTTCAAGCTTTTTCAAGGCGCGACCACGGTGTCGGCAATTCCCCGCAATTCCCAGCCCTACACTGCCTCACCTTAAAGCCCCTTGAAGCCACCAAATATAGGCATAATGCGCCTTAAGGTTGACATTAAACTTAATGTACATTACATTGCGGCAACACTAGTCCGAATGGTCCGGATTTTGGTTCCCAAAGGTGAGAAGAATGTCACGTGTATTCTTCAGTGTGTTCCCTAACATCGTCATTCTTCCCCCACCATCATGTCTACTGCATATGCATCCGCATCTCTACGTTCCGCTGGTGCTTTGTGTGACAATGTCTTCCCCTGTGTACCGCTGAATCCAAGAGTCCCCGACGGCCGCAAATCGAGTTTAGGTTTGAAGAATGGTCAAGGATCTTGGTTCATATTGTCTTACCGGTGAGTATACGTCTAAAATGTGTCGCATTCATTGCTAATGTTTGGGAATGCTTCGAAGTGATCTCCACCTCCTGGATCGCGTGCCGTTGAACTGAGACCTGGTACGTAGATTCTGCAACGTTCGCATGCAAGTTTGCTTAACATTTTCTCAAGCCGACGTAAGAAAGGACACCTTATCGTGACTGCCTCCATCTTCGAAGGTCGAGTTTGCATTTGTCTTTCACGAATGTATGTGCTTCACAAGGTATGCCATCTCGCATCATCCTTTGCCTTTAACCTAATCATCATACAGGATTTGTGTACTGCTAAGAGAGCCTGAGCGAGGCCGCTGTAACGCTATGCATTGGTACTACGGCGCAGGGATATGAGAAGCACGGGAGCGGGAGCAGGGTGTGGATAGGCCATGGGGAGGTTCTTGAGTGTGACGTCATGGGTCTGACAGGTGTGGGAGCAACTGCGACACGCGTTCGCTTCTCTTCATCTGCAACATCCATCTTGACAACTTTGCTGCCCTCTTCTGCTTTGGTTTTGGCTGTAAGTCTCAAACCACTCTCATCCCCACCAAATGCAGGTTCTAAACCAGTCAAATTTTTGATAGGGCTCGTCACGGAGGCCGGCTTCTCGAGAACACCACATTTGATTGTGTTTACGCCTTGGGGTAAGTTCCTTCAACATGTGCGGATGCACCTTTGACTCAAGGGTATGGGCAGAGAACACTTGGGCCATCCTCCTTGTATCACAAACCATCCAGCCGGATGCCTTCTGAACACAACAGCAGTGCCAGGCCAACGTCGACGTCCCCACCCGCTCAATCCACCAACGTTCCGATCTCAGACATAGTTCCCCATTATCCACCATCTCGCCCTTACTTTGGCGCATTCTATCCTCAGCCGACTAGATTGCCCTGCCGTCAAGTGTTCCAACAACACGTCTGCACATGCCAATCTCGACTGCCCCCCCACCACCTCTCCTCGAGGCTTGAAGCCAAATACGTCATAGGCCTATTTCAGTGTTCTCCCATCTGACGTTGATCGAGGGCCCTTCAGACGACACGGATGCATGGCTTCACTTTAGTGTGTGTAACCTTGGGGGATCAAGGTAGTGCGGACGATGGATTGATCGAGGTTCTCATCGTCGTTCGTGAATTCGTGGATTAGGTTACGAACATTTTTCAATGCCAAGGGACAAAGAGGGTGGATGTCGTTGACCTGCGGGGGGCCGAATGTATATGGAACCCAACTTTCTTTCTCGCATTTCCTCTCTGCCAACTTCTACAAGATCCTCCCCTCAACGACACGAGAGTCGCTCATCCCTCATATTCTCGTTATCCCTCCACCTTACCTATCCACGAGAAGGGTATATGATGGTGTTCTCGGCTCCATCGCAACATCAGCCACCCACCAACAAAGGGCGACCAGATGACTTTGAACTGGCGCAGGATTACACTGAGTTGCGCAAAAGAGAGAATTGGTGCCTTAGAGGGAGGTATGGCAGGCATGGAGGTTATATGGGCTGGGTGCGACGTGTATGGATGTGGATGTCGTGACTTTGGCTTTAATCTCTGGGAGCGCCACGCTGATTGATGGATCCTTCGATATGACAAGTACTGGAGACTTTAATATGTATGTAGTTTCGTGTAAACTAACTTAAGTGTCCATAGTAAGCTATTCCCCCAGAGCTGCCGTGGCCTTAGCACTCTTTGTTCGGCTTCGTTGAAGACCTTCGGGAAGAATGTGGGCTGCGTTAACCTCGTCGACCTTTCTGCGCTTAGTGGGCCGGCGGTGATCACCATCGGGTTTTGGAAGGATAGGCGCACTGAGCACGCCACTGCTGGATGTCAGCACTGGAGAGGAACTGAGGCCTGCCAAAGTACCAATAGACGACATGGTGTCGATGTTGGGATGAGAAGGGTACGGGGGCAAAACGAGCTGAGAGCTGTCTGCTATAAAATAGTCAGGCCTATTTTCCTGTACACCTATCGATAAGGCAGCTTCCATGAAGGCCTGTTCATAATCAATTGTTGCGCCGACATCCAGATTTGCCGAACCCAGAGCATTGACGTCCATGTTTTCGAAGTCAAAGTTGTCCATATTTGTGAAATCAAATTCATTGAAGTCAAAATCAAAGCCAGAACCGAAAGCGTTGGGACTGTTGATGGGAGGATGGCCATGGTCATAGTAATTGACTGGCATGTCGGGGAACAGACCAACTAGGACAAAGAGTTTTGGCGAATGCAATTTTGCATGCAAGGCAATGAATAACCCACCGGCGTTCTCATTCAAGCCGCAATTGTCCTCTTGACTATTGAGCATCGCAGTGAGTGACTCAACCAGCGATGTACTCTGTGTGTTTGTGTCATCTTTTTTAAGATGCGTGTCGCCTGGAGGAATTGTTGAGATAGATTCCTCCAATAAATCCACGTTGTTCCCTATATGAATAATATTGGTTGAATATTGGAATACCTACAGAGCAACGACGTACCAGGCCCCTCGGGTAGGTCTTTATCCACTGTCTTGCTTTTAACTGATAATGCTGGACGGCGCCCATGAACTTGAGCCCCACTTAAGCCATTGTCCTTGAGTTCCTGGATGGATTTGTTAACAACTTGCCGCCGATTTTTGTATCCTCGTCGCTTTTCCTTCTCTGCTTCGACTTGTTGCTGGAGGGCCTTGATTTCTTCCTTCCAATTGGCACTCTGATTATCTCGTAGCATCTGGATCTGCGCCTGAAGAGATTTATCTAGTTTTAACGAGTCAGCCTGCTGAGATGAAAGCATCTGAAGCTCGGTGGTGAACTCATCATGGTGAGCGAGTTTATCATCACGGTCCTTCTGTTTTGCATGACCCCAAGCCCGACGCTGGGTATTTAGGTGTTCCCTTTCAGACAGCCCATTCCAGCGCTTAGGCAGAACAGCATTCTGTTCCATCGCCTCAAGTTCATCAGCAACTTTATTGTCAAGTTCACATGCGCTGGAAGGGTAGATTAAATGATGACAAAAATTACACTTTGAAGGTACCTTGTGACAGCTTCGCCAATTTCCTTGCCTATGGATGTAACATCGTTTGTTCCCGAGTGACCACCTTCAACGAGATTGGAATGGTTGGGTGTCAAATTCCAGCTTGTACCATCCATCTTCGACAGGAAAGCATTGAGAGATGGCAAAAGCCATGGATTGTTGACTTTCTGTTGATACCAGTCTAAGCACATTAAGTGAGTGTGAACTTTTGGTGCAAATTTTTACCGGCTTACCTTGTACTGACTTATCTAAGGAATTCCGGCAGAATTCACGCCATTCTTGAATTTCATTGTGGCTCCGAAGTCCCATGAATCCTTTCAAACGGGCGATGGTTTCTCTGGATACTGTAGCTGGAAGTTTGTCGATGTTCCTTATGGACATAAGGATATGGAGGTAGTTGAGTTGAATGAAGTATGGTACGAACCTCTCGAAGTGAATGCAACAAGTCTTCAAGACAATCATCAACAATTCCAGTGCATTTCTTGGAACAGTTGATGTGGTCTCCGGCACATACTTTGCAACATATACTAGTAATTCATCACCTAATCCCTGCGCTTGTGGAGCTTCAGCATCTAAAATGATTGCTCGTAGGAGCGCCTTAGGATCGCCAGGAAAGAAAGCGAAGAACTTTAAAATTGATCCAGTAAGCTCAGGAATAATTTGAAAGAGCTTGGAAAACAGTCGACCAAAGGCATTCCGGGTATTCCTATCACAATAGAAGTGTGCCAGTGTTACACCTGGATTGGAAAAAATTTAGAGACACCTGGTGTTTGAAACAGCTCATTGATCAAAAAATTACTTACGGCGTTTGAAGCGATCCAAAAAACCGACAACTTCCCATTCATCGACATCACCTTTCACTCATTTGAAGGTATAGTCAATACAAAGATAAAGAACAGAGTGGAAATGTTTTGCAAGACGGGGATGCATTGTAATGACCCATTTTGCTTCAGGAGTAACCATGACTGCCTGGATGTAGCGTTTATCGGCAGAGAGCTTCGATTCACGTTGTATGTGTTCGTGTAGGAGGCCTTTATAAATCAGTGAGCTACCAATTGATATAATTGCTGTAAAATTATGCAAACCTTCCCAACCTAATCCCTTTGGATGGTCCTTCATTTTTTCTTTCCGAATTTCATCTCTTAATTTGCGGCGATCCATGTATGCAGGGGATGCGATTGGTAGAGACATGCTGTTGTAAATAGCAGATGTCGATGGCACTGGAATTCCTGAGGGGTAAATATCAAGTCAAACCTAAGAATCAGAATACTATACCATTGATCAGCTTGCGAACAGTGAGCCCACGCTTTCCAGCCGCACTGATTGCTTGCCTGAGTTGATCTTTCTCCCCGGTACTTGGCTTGGTCTTCGGATACATTGGGTGATTATGCGGGTTTCGCAAGTAAACGATTGCCTTGCGAATGGAAGCGTCAACAGGGATATAAATGGCCATACGAGTTGGGCATTTTCGTTCAATAATTTTTCCGTGTGAGATTTTGCCGTCTATAATGTGCGAGTACGCTAGGGAATTTTTATTTGGGATATATAGGTTGGACATGACTCTAGTTTACTCACGACACGCCTTCAACGCAACTCTTGGATGAACAGCCAAGACACAGGTCGCATTCACGTTAGACGCTGATACGGGTGAAACGTGTTCAACCGTATAAAATCTGATTTTCGCGATTTTACTGTTAAACGGTCTTCTCTGCAACTATACTACATACAGTTGTAATGATATAAAGAGTCTATGAACATACCCGGTTCAGTAGACTAAAAAGTGCACATGCGTCGAGTCTGAACATAGGACAAAGGCTTTGGAGCTGGCAGCAGTATGCGCCGTGACATTATACTTGGAGCCTACTAGGATTCACCCACCATGAAATAGAGTACAAAGAGACTCTAGAGTAAACCACCCAACGCAGGGAACAAGATTGCATTACTACCAAGGGTTTAGAAACATGAAATGGATTTTAATATGAAAAACTCGGTCTTTTATCTTGTGATAAATCTACCAAGACTTCTAGAGGATAAACTACATGTGGACATTATGAGATAATGTTCTACTACTAGAGAGACTATGTTACAACTATGTGGTATATGTACCGAGACCAAGCGTGGCTTGTGGCCATGTAGAACGTCGAGTACGGCAATTCCCGCGTACGCATCAAAGAGTGATGCGTCGTATCGTCCAAGACGCGTGATGCGCACACCTGGAAAGACATTAGGTAATCCATCCTGGAAACCCCCCTGATAATTAAGAAAGTCATTTGAAGCTCTTCGGAGTGCCATCCGATCTCCATATGATACAGAAACCGTGCCGAGGTATTTTAAATTAACGACCTCCGGAAATAAAGAAGCCGGCAGTGTGTCTGCATACGTATCACACGCATCAGCACGCCCATCACTGAAATGACACGATATGTCAAATTAGTAGCCGAGACCATGATAAAGAAGCATGCGGAACCGGTCCGGACTAGATATAATTAAAACCGGATTGTTCCGCGTACACATCAAACACTGATGCGTTGACAAAGAAAAGATACTAACACTACAAAGTCTGTAGTGTACCACAAGAGAGACACTACAAACTATACCACACAATCATTAAAAGCTATTTGTATTTCGGACCGATATATAACCGTAGAAAACACATGTAAAAGCGTAGATAGGGGTTTTGGAGTATATAAGGAGCGCACTAGCAGGTCAAAAGGGAAGCAATCGTCCCCCGTTGACCAGCTAGTTGCACTCCAAGTAGAGACTTAGGAGGTGGACAGTTGTAATCAATTAAAGGAGATTTCTTCGTGGTCAGAAAAGTACAGTGTGAACGAAGCCAGCGTGCTTGGGAGTCAGCTTACTTGGAGACTTGAATAAGAGGTTTTTAAGCACAGTATCATTCAGACGAGACAGCGTACTCGTACCCTTTGTTTTGGAGCGTAGTGACATAATAAAAACTCAAGGGAGTTATAAAAGTCCGATAAATTCGTGTTTCGTGTCAATAAAGAAGTCTGTGTGCGAGAACTTTACATTTGAGCAACCAGGATCCCTGAAAGACATACTTTGTTCTATTAAACTATTCTAATACCACACCCAATAATAAAACCCGGTTTTATTACGAAAACTCTTGAGACTTAAACCTAAGAAGACAAAAGTGGTATTTCTTAATACCAAAGGCCCTCGAACTCTTGCACCGAGATTGTGATAGTGTGTGTGTGTGTGTGTGTGTGAGTGTTAGGTGTATAGGGTTTTCCCCCGATGCGCTTGATCCTTGTTTGCGTGTTTCGCACTTTCACGTTCATCCCCGTGCAAAGTGTATCAACGCAATATTTAATGGCAGCACCCCATCATTATCCATAACCTTAGCCAGTATATCTTCATCAACGTTCGAAGGGATGGGGAGGTACCGATGGTCATCACGTTCATTATACTTCCACGCCGAGCAACCAATGAAATACTCCTTCCCATATTTTGAGCGTCCCTTCGAAGGCAATAAGTTAATGATAAGAACAGGAGATCCGAGAACCTGGACACACCGAGGCCATTTTTCGCATGACAGGCTTTCCGGTGCATGGAACCTTGCACTTGAGCTTTTGTACCTCGGCATAAAACCTGTTGGTCACAAATCAGATGTTTTGAAGCCAATTCACAAACAATTCTCACCTCGAAACGATGTTCGCTTCCTCCAGTGCCTCACGAGAATTAGCGTCAAGCTCACAATACCAGAGCTCTCGCATCTCGTGAGGATCAGGCTCATAACGCTCACAGTCTTCAAGGATTTCCTGATCAAAATGTTCACACATATCAACGCCGTTGCAGTGAAGGTATGCGCGGCGGCAGTGGACACTTTCTGCGGGGTCATTGTCATCAAACCCAAAGACGTAGACTTCCCCAGCAGAGCGACCAGCTGACCCTCCCCAGGAGTCTTGATCCTGCATGGAATGAAAAGAGTGAATTATCTGGGTGAAGGCTAGCGTTAAGACATACCTCAGCTCGAATTAGAGCATCAATTGAATATTCATCACCATTGGGCTTCCGCGGAAGGCTGTCCAGTGCCGAAAGATCGACAAGTGTGGCTGAGTTGTTCCGGGGAACTGTCCACGTTGATGGTAGTGAGGTAATAGTTGATATTGAGTTGACAGTGAGTTTCGAGGTGAGTTTGACGGGATCAGAGGGCTTCGGCCAGGTGTCTGTGGGTATCCTGGCTTTTCCTTTCGAAGATTTACCCTTAACGGTTGTGATACCTGCTGAGGAAACATGCGGGAATTCAATCTCTGGGGAGATTGAGCGTGAACCTGTGGTAATTAGACGGTAAACTAAGGGTATGACCTACGAAGGACAAAAATTCACGTTTAATAGCTTGAGGGATTTCTTCTCGTTCCTTCTGTTCCCTTTTAACAATGTGACTCGCAACAACCAGTGAGTTCTGGCACATTTCACCTTCATCATCGTCCGAGTCCGAAATGACGATGACATCAGGAGAGCTCGCAGTTATGGAGTACACAGACGAGGTTGCCCGTGATGAGGGGGGATAGTGTGGTAGAATCCTCTCATTGTCTGAGCTCAAGTCTGCTGTCTCAGACATACACGAGGGAGGGCTATTAATAGAAGATTAATTCAACAAAAGCATCGGATATGCAGAGGTACTAACCGTGAAATAGACGAGGATGTATACGATGACATCCGGGAAGATGGACGTGACCCCACTTCCTTTACTCCTTCCCTAAACCAGAGCATCCACGCTTCAAATGCCACTGGACGAATCCAGTCATGGAAGTTGTCGGTTGAGAAGTAGTCCTTCTTGGCGTACGCTGGTGTCGTAATCTGTGAAACACATTGAGGTAGTGGGAATTTTATTACTATGATGCTTACAACGTCTCGAAATTGCTTGATATCGCGTGCAGTCGCACCGTCGATAAGTGCTTGTGCATGGCCAGTATCCTGGCTTAGATCCTTCGAGTTTTTGAGCCATGTTTCATAGAGTTCATAGCCGGAAAGTGTCGTCCAGTTCTCATGGCAATCAAGGGAGAAAAATGGTTGATGAGATTGATCAGCGAGGGCGGGTTGGAAGGCCTTGAGAAGATACTTAAGGGGACAGTCTATATATGGATAATGAACTCACAAAGTCACGATACCGGCGGAGTTTGGACAAAGAAACATCGGTGAGGTTTATCATAGGCATCATTGGGAGCGCCTGTGGCGGCTAGCTCAACCGTGAGTGGTGGTGGGGGTTGCGAAGGTTTTTTTCAAATTAAAATTTTCTTGGGACACAAATGTTCCGTCCACAAATGTTCTGCCTAACAATTCTTGAGCAGGTGGTCGGACATTGAAATGTCAGGCGCCTATGCCGATCCCACTATCAGTACTGTATCCCACTATCACAACACAATCACACTCTTCCCTTTCCAATCACACTTTCCCCTTTTCAATCCCACTATCATCGTTTCGATCCCACTCTTTGTGCATCAATCCCACTCTTCTTGTATATACTCAGCTGAAACAGTCCAAAATGTCAAGTTGTTCAATAAAGAAGCCTCCTGAGATCAAAGAACCAGTACTGTCGCATTTCATTCAATTCGACGGTCACGCATCACAGTGCCCTTCAAATTGCTGAAATGTCACCATGGTCACGTAGATTTTTGTAAGGTGTCGAAATCATCTGGCGCTCATGTGATAAATGTCGAAATTTTTCGTGGCCTGCAGCGCTAAATGGTCGAAAATTTGCGCAAATTTTCGGCTTGTCACGGCGAATTTGTGTGGTTGTCGAAAGCAAAATTTCGACAGGCCTCAAACTATCACACATCACGGGCCCTGTCGAATTGAATGAAATGCTACAGTATGTTGCATAGAAATATAAGGTTGCACACTGAAAGATATGGCACAACTAATAAAACATTACTTAGACTGAAGCCGACATCAGACAAGATGGAACCATGGTATGTCCTCATTCAATTGTGAGAGGTTCAGTAGGACTCCCAAACTACTTCAAAAGACGTAAACACAGTCGAGCATGCAAGGAGAATAAGCAAAAGAAAGTGGCAAGAGAAGCTTTCGCAAAAACCCAGGCCAAAGCATGTCAGTTTTTCATGCTGCGAGAAACCACAGTCCTTGCAGTGCTGGGCCTCTGCCTAGTCTGCTGAAAATTTACTTGTCAAGCCTCAGACCTCAAGCTCAAGCTCAAGGCCAGCAACTATACTCTCGGCCTTGGGCTGGCAGGTGGGACTAGCACCTATATCAATATTGCCCACCCCCTCACATTTCCATCATGTCAAATCTTGTGTCCAAAAGCTGCTGCATTGTTGACAGAGTTGCGTGCATGCATTGACGGACTCCCAGGCTTGTGCTGTGATGATCATAGACATGATGATGTAATGTTTCTATATTTGGAAATATATTCCCACCCTTAGTTAGTTAGTTTAGAAAAAAATTCAACCCTATAGGATTAAAAAAAATCTTGGACTCCCCTTGCTAGTAGATCTTGCATTATTCGACTCGCCCGCAGATGATTTCAAGAAATTGGAAATACTTACTCACCTCCGAATTTCATCCTCTTTGGAAAGATGAGAAGCAAAGAAAAGCTTTGGAAGAATTTCTCTCCCGAATTATGGAAACGACGCGCACACGTGACAGAACTGGCTGACTAGAGGCGAGTTTTCGATCTCGCCCTTCTTCCTTAACTACCACCATCTTCTCTGTTTTTTCTTCTCCTTTTCTAGCCTCCCTCCTCCTCGCTGTTCTCTTCGTCCTCAAGACACTATACCCTAACGACATAGCGCCTATTTAACGACATCTTTACCTAATCCTCGACGACGACCACATGAAGAACTTTTACGCCCACAATCTATTCGCTCTCGCCCTCGCCGTTCCAGCCACCATCGCCCAGCAACAGGCACCCCAACCACAACAACCCGCTCATCATGGAGTTCCAGGCACTTTTGAGATCCTCGGTAAGAGTCTCGTCAATGCACAGCAGGTCAGTAACTCGACGATGCATGCAAACACGCCTTTACTCAATTCCGCGTAGATGTTTCTTGGATCTTTCGATAAGGTCTATATCACCGACAGAGCTGAGAACAATCCCGGTCAGATCAATGGTCATCCTGCTTGGGCGCAAGGTCAGCCACCTTTTTTGCGCGCATACACTATCTGACCTCGCGCTAGAGTGGGATCTCCGCAATAATGACCAGCACGCCATGGAGGTTGTGACCAACTCGTTTTGCGCGGTACGCTCTTTGGTCATTTGGTTTGCGCGTGTGTGGCTGATGCTTTCTTTAGGGTGGTGGCGTGATGGGAGACGGGACTTGGTCCATCGTCGGTGGGAATCAAGCTGTGACGTATGGCGGGATGACGGCTGATCGCCAGGATGGAGGAGGGCCATACAATGATCTCGATGGCCGCAACTCGTGAGTCTATCATCTTATCAAGTCGGTCTGTTCTGATCAAGGCCTGTCATAGTGTTCGTCTGCTCTCTAAAGGTCCTGATGGCAATATGCAGTGGTCCATCTCGCCTACTGCGATTGATCAAAGATGGTACCCCACAGTGTGAGTACTCGTTAGACACTCCAATGGGATTACTGACCGGCCTCGTAGGGAGACTCTTGAGGATGGAAGCTTCATTATCGTACGTCGCTCCGTTAATTGTAATTTATTCCAGCTGATAACTCCATCCAGATCGGTGGTTGCAGGACCGGAGGATTCGTCAACGACCCAGGACAGAACAACCCCACGTACGAGTTCTACCCATCCAGAGGCCAACCCTTCCGCTCCCCTTTCCTTGAAAACACCCTCCCGACCAACCTCTTCCCGCTCACCTGGCTCCTTCCCTCTGGAAAGCTGCTGATACAATCTAACTGGCAAACCATCCTAATGGATTACAAGACAGCGGTACGGACCTATCCTGCTAGCGCTGGCACCACCATGATGCCTCTTACTCCGAACAACAATTACACGGCGACTATCATGTTTTGTGGCGGTTCCAACGTTCCAACTGACCAGTAAGCTCCTTTCCGCGTTCACGGCACTGGGCGTCCCTAAGGTGAACGATTTAGGTGGCGCGCCCCTGGCTTCAACGCGAGGAGACCCCGACTTCTGCTTCGTGCGTCCAGATCATCCCCGACGTTGCAGGAAAATACCGAGATGTAGATCCCCTCCCGGAGCCGCGTGTGCTCACAAGCTTGATCCTCCTCCCCGATCAAACAGTCTTGGCTCTCAATGGTGCGCGAAAGGGTACGTGTACGCGTTGAGGGCTCTCATCGTCAACGCTGATCTGCTATATATAGGCACTGCTGGCTACGGAAACGATACTTGGGCTGTCGGCCAGTCGTATGCGGACGATCCGGTTCTGACCCCGCTCATCTACGATCCCAAGGCAGTAGCAGGAAAACAATGGTCGAGCGATGGTTTTTCTCCCAGTACCGTTGCTAGGATGTATCATTCGTCGGCAACCCTCCTTCCTGACGGTGATTATTAGAATCGTTTCCTTTGGAGTTCTCCGACTGATTTTTTTTCAGGCTCGGTATTCATCTCTGGTTCAAATCCCAACTCTGATTGGTCCGATCTTCCCGAGCTGCAATACCCGTCCGAACATCGCACCGAGCGCTTCTTCCCCAAGTATTATAACATGAGGCGTCCTCAGCCCAAAGGTCTGATCGCTCAGTTTTCGTATGGTGGGCCATCTTTCGATATCAGCTTGGATTCCGCCGATCTGTTCGGCGACGTCGCCAATGTGGTTGGGGCCACGGTCGTCCTTATCAAAACCGGATTTTCGACCCACGCTATTGTACGTGCTTCTCTCTTTGATTCTGATATAATTGCTAACACACCCTGTCACACAAGAACATGGGCCAACGTCTCCTTCAGCTCCAATCTACCTACACCGGGTTCAGCAACAACACTGCCGTTCTCCATGTCGCACAGCTCCCTCCTAACCCTGCCATCATCGCCCCCGGCCCCGCGTGGTTGTTCGTCGTTGTCAACGGCGTCCCTTCCGTCGGCGTTCAGGTGATGCTCGGCTCCGGGAAGATTGAGACACAGCCTACATTGCCTGCAACGATCCTGCGTGATTCCTCGATGGTCAAGGCGGTGGACGACGATGTGACCTCTTCGGCAAATAACGGCACCAAGGCTAGCGCTGGGGTCCGCATGTGCGTAGGGGATGGTGGGCTTCTTGCGTGGCTGGTGGTCGGTTTTGCGCTCTTGCTGGGATGGTAGGCCAAGCCTCTTTTACAGCGTTGAGGTATACGGACTATTTATTTCATTCTTTTGATTTACCTTACTTCACGACTAATATTTTACGGCCACGATTATGATTAGATGACTACATTATTACTATTTATCGACTGCATATACCATACCAGGAGACTTTCTATTACTATATTATTCTCTACTATTGAATTAGTGACCCTGCCAGTCAGCACCTTTTGAGAAGTGGCTGTTGTTGAGGAGGTTGAAAGGAACTTGCGCCACGTACTGTAGTTGGTGAACTTCCGGATTCAACACACCCAGACACTATGGCATATATACATCATTTACTATCACAAATACCGAAGCACCGTCCAGATTGCTCTTCAAAACACTCAAAATCTACTTATGAACGCAGTTTGCGTCCGAGCATCCGTTACTATCTGCGACTACACACTTCCAAGAATAGACAGCAGCAAACTATACAAAAAAAATCTGTGAGCTTGATCATGTGGAAGGAATTCAAAGGTACTGACGCTCGTCATGTCATTCCAGCCATCATAGTCGACGCAAGCTTCGCAATTGTTGGCGGTGCACGAGTCCGTGGTGTACAGGAAGCAAACGTCCCCTTGATTGGCGAAAGACGAGAAGAGATTGGTTTGGAAATGGTCTGGGACGGCCTATGATATTTATACAGTGAGATTCTGACGGATAAAAATGAAAATCTTGACTTACGTTACAAGTCCCTACTGCGGCTTCGTAGGCATAACAATTACCAGTGCGGGAGGTTCCGTCGCACAGAATAATGGCGCTTTGACCGGGAGGAAGAGGATCACGGGGAAGCAGATTCAATAGCTCACGCTTGGTGGCTTCGTCGACCGTCGCAAGGGATCGAGCTCGGACAACGGAAGAGGCAAGCGCGTTGACGGTGAACGTGTTCAAGGAAAGAGCAAGGCTGATGAGGGGAAGGAGTTTCATGGTGTGTATGTATGAGAATTCGAGTTGGTGTTTGGGGCTTGGAGAGTTTGGGGGTGCGTCGCCTTGATTTTATACCTGTAGAGCCTGCTAAATATTTGTACCCTTTTCCAGTTGTGCGGGGTGTTGAGTTTGATAAATATCTTGGTTGGGATTTAGACAGCTCCGTGCATGAATTGATATTTGCTAAAAAAAGGGTATCGTACGTCAGAGTCACTGCCTTATTATCCAAATGGGTGGTTCACATTACCAGGGAGGAGGAGGCAAACAGGAATTCATTTTGCCATCGTCATCGGAGGCTCAAATTTTTGATACGAACAAAGGGAACCGCGGATTGGTTACCATCTGGCTGATTTAATGGAAAGGTAGCGAATAAGATTCTTGTCTCGAGTCCACTGTCGGTCCGGAATGCATCTACGGCGCTGGAGATTAAAGCACAAGTTGGGCAAAAGCGTGTCCAAAATGCGTGGAGACGTGTAGGCAGCAGTGGCAATCAGAATTTCGAGCATGGGCAGTCACCTGGACTTGGTTAAAATATTGTCCGGCGCAGCGTCGCCGGTTGTGTGAATTCGACGTACTCCTTTATCATTCACGTTGCATTCCCATCTCCACAGTCATACACGCCAAGAACTTGCCAAGACCAGGACGCTACTGAAGGTATCGATTTTTATCGCTTCTTCACAGTTATCAATAGACCCAGCATCACAACGGATGGGCATGAAGACTGGGTTTGGAGCTAAATCTAAAAGGTTACTTCATGCACGACCTTGCCTTTCAGATTCTTCTTAGCCGCGCCCAGATGGTCCGAGGTCCCGTAGAGTAGGGTTCCGCTTTGGGGCGACTGGCGACGACGACGAGGCGGTGTGGAGACATAGATGCTATGCGATAACGGGATGAAGGTGCGATGACGAGGGAAAGTGGTCGCAAAAACAACTGTCGACTACCTCTGAGCCCTGGGCAAGAATGCTGTCTATGTTGTTCCAGTAACACGCATCCGTTGATATATCCTCCTTGAAGAGACGGGGAGAGCCGATATCTGTCATAGTGGGGAGCTACGAATGTCGAGGCGACAGCTAGTGAGAGGCGACGACGAAGTTGCGTTGGGAAGGAGGAAGGGGTTAACTAGTAGAGAACGATTGGTAAGTGCCCTTCAGCCGTGCCTTTCCAGCTGACATACCTATACCCTCCTTCTCGCACCGGCGCTCGAGGTTTCACGTGAAATACAGTCAGTTCCAAGTAATACCCGCAACGACAGACGAGCTTGATGACAGAGGCGAAAGTAGCGTAACCCTGGGGACTAGAACCAAATATTATATGCCAGTTCCTGCATGCCGCGTTGTTTGCGTGAGTAAAGAAGAATGGTAATACCAAAGACCTATTCACATTCTTAATTGGCGTTCATCATGTGGTTAATCTCTCTGAAGAGGAGGCGATAAGCATTAAGTTGAGGAAGGAGAGAAAAGGAAACGTGCCTTCCATAGATGAGGTGCCGCTCTCGGTATATACTAGGGCCAACCACTCGCCATCGTTTCTGACGGCGACGAGCACCCAACAAGCGAAGGGCTGCTATATGTGGCCCGGTGGTCCGTCCGTCCAGTGTAGCCCTGAATGTGAAGGGCGCAGTTCTGCTGGAGAAATAGATCAGAAATGGGTCTAGTGCCAATGAGACGGGGGGGCAGAAATCACTACACCCTCGCATGCAGATTTGTTCCCCGCCGAGTCTGTGGCTGGTGGTTTCAAAACCTTCCACGTATTCCCCGTTCCAAAGCAGTCTGTGAAGTCAAGCTGAAGACGTAGCCGCATCCTGTCGTTAGGCATGATTCGGCTTTGTAGCCCTATAGCCTATCAGGAAAACATGAGCAGGACGGACAAGAGTCGACACACACACACAGAAATGAGACACGACACACCTGATGGAGAACGACACACCTGTCCAATGTTCAACACATTTGATGGCAAATGTCGGTCACTTCAAGTTGCTCAGGAAGGTGTGTCGAATCTTATCCGCGTGATACCATACTATCTCGATTGATTCCGCCCTTTTTGGATTATCAGAAAATGAAAATTTGATGTGTGACGGAAATTAGCTATGTATCATACACCAAAGATTCTGTGGTTAAGTCAAAATCTGCCTCTCCATGCTCAAGTAAAATTTAGGATTATATGTTTTATTCCTTAAACTACTTACTATACAAAGTTATACATAAATTCTAAGAGAGGGAGCAACCTCGCGACCCCGGAATGTACGCACCAAGAATCCTCACTGTCGACGGCCTAGTATCGGCGCATCTGGGTGTCAGGATGTAGTCTCGGTGGCCGTGGTCGGGCGGGACGCAGTGGTGGCCTCGTCGCAAAGGGCGCTGGCGTTTTCGCTGTCATTCGGGGTTGGTTAGTGGGGAGGCGTGGGGTACACACCTGGCTGCACGGTGGGTGCCGTATCCCCTGTTGGTTTGCCAAGTGGCACTGGGTCCTCGTCGATGGGCCTCAGCGCTGGATTCTGTCTGTGCAGGCATTTTCATGGGCCGATTCCGTCAGCGTGGGTGGTTTATCCTGGGCGCTGGGTTGTTGCCGTTGGTAGATGGGCGGTTTTGTGGGTGTTTTCATGGGCGATTAGTCGTAATCCGAGGGTTGGGTTTGCGAGAGGGGGTTGAATTGGGGGCGGTGGTCGCGTTTGCCGTGGCACAGGGTGTGGGAGGTGATGGTGGTGGGTTGTTAGCAAAAATCCGGGGCTGAACAAAGTGGAAACCACCTGAAAGAGCCCATGACCGTTCTCTTGGTCCTTGTCAGCCATAGCGAGGGTGCAAGATGGGCAGGAAGAGAGCGAGGGGGGTGGTGGGGCACAGGCAAGCAAATGGCGGTGGTGGTGATGAGAAAGCGGTCGTGACCAAGTCGTCACAGCGATCATCACGCTCGTAACTTGTGGCGAAGTTTCGAATTTATGCACGGCACACTCGAAAATGCGAAATCACGAAGAACGACACATTGTTACCAGGTGTGTCGCTTCTCACATGATGTGTCCTACTCCTCATCTCTGTGTGTGTGTCTCCTCTTGTATATCCTCAAACATGAGGGTTGTCTTTGTTCATATATCGTGAACCAAGGTACAACTTCACATATCGAAGTCTGTCTAGGAGAGACTATTGTCTTTGGGGATCTTTGGGGTCTTTGGAAAGACCTAAAGACTCCAAAGACATAAAGACTGCACATCTTTCGGGAGACAGGTACATTTTCTTTCAAAGACATGGTCATCTTTGAGGGACCATCGACAATCTTTCAAAGATGAACACAGAGCTTTGTGAAGACCGTCTTTGGCTTCATAAGATATCTTTACACGTCTTTCACTCATGCTTATCATACCACAGATGCACTAAAATTAGTGTTGCCGAAGTTCAGTTCAGTCCAGTTCTTCACCTCTTTTTGAGAACTGAGAACTGAACTGATGACCTCCAGGCAGAACTGAGGACCGAACAGGACTGAACTGGTAAGAACCGTTCTTCCCTGTTCAGTTCTGTTCAGTTCTCCGTTCGAACTGCCGAACTGTCAAAAATTCGGCAGAAAGTTGGTTTGTACCACCACCTAGAGGTTTTGCGACCGCTTACCTTGCGCTTACCGTGACGGTGCACCGCAAGTTGTCGAACATCAAACACAGTACGTCTTGGAGCGCGTCGAGGACGTCGCTGGAGAACGTTTGAAACAACCAGCAGTTAATTGTTTGTTTGTTCGTGCATTACTTACTCTCTCTCCACTAGTGTTTGAAAGTCCGGTTAGGTTAGGTTATTGGGTGCCCAGGGGCTCTAACCGAGACCGAGACCGGTTAGGGTTCGTTCCCAGACCCAAAATAACCTAACTGGACCGAAGATAACCGATGAAAACCGGTTAGTTGCGGTTACTAACCAGTTAGGACCGAAAAAATAGAAAATCGATTAAAACGGCGTATATTTCTCATATTCCTTGCAGTAAACATTATTGCCATGCGTCGTAGCTTTAAAACAAGCCCAAGAACGCTAAATTCGGTGAAGAATTGACAATTTTATAATAATATTCTTGAAAGCCTACTATTTTAGCCAATAATTTAGAGATTTGACCATAACTCTGTCAGATTTTTAGCGTTTCTCATGCTTTTAGATGCGTTTTGAAGGGGTAAAATAGGGTCGGTTGTAACCGGTCATAACCGGTTTTTTAACGGTTAGTTAACCGCAAAATAACCGGTTATTTCATTTCCAGAATTGACTAACCACTAACCGCGGTCCGGTTTTTTTGCGGTTAGGTCCGGTCTGGTCTCGGTTATTTTCCAGTTAATTAACCTAACTTCCAAGCACTACTCTCCACCAACTAGTACTACACCTTTTGACGAAATCGTCTGCAGCTCAGCAGACAGCGGCAAATTGACCTACTGGTACGGCAAGCACCAACTCTTCACCACCCTCTCCCAGCCCATATCCATCGTCAACCTCAACTCCGCAAATGACAATATATCCTACCCATGCGCCCTCCCACCCCGTTTCGCCGCCTTGAACATGGCCATGATATCATTAGCCGAAGACTACAGCCTCGTTGGATTCAAAACTCTCGCAGTCGAGGACCCAACCCCCC